CCGGCGAGGTGTCACAGTATTTACACAGAGCCAAAGACGACCAGGCGCATCGACAAAGCAGGCGTTTCTTTTGCTCTCAGGGCTCCGATTCTCAAGGTCTACCCCTCAGTTGTAGCATTCGAGGTGAAGGAATTAAGCATTACCGTTTCCAGGAGCTCATTTGGGTTGAAGCTCGCTTCCCTGGTCCTAGGGCGGAGCTCAGAATCGGAGCCCAAGCGCTTCCCCAGATCCAAGCGTGTACCGAGAACATATTCCTGTTCTTGCAGAGAGGATGGGGGAGGAGCGGGCGTGAGACTCCTGAGCGTTTAGAAGGCGCAAGCGCTCCGTGCAGGTAGCGCAGAATCTTTGCAGCAGCCTTTCTGGTTGCTGAAGCATGAAACCATGGATGAGGGATTCGGTTATGGAGCTGTTTGCGTAGGTCCGGCGCAGGATGTTTGCTTGAATTTCATGTGGGACCTCGAGTCAATATTTGAGAGTGTTAGGACATGAGGGTATTAGGGCATTAGGTTTCAGACGCCACATGTTGAGCCAAGCGTCCTTCCAAAGTGCATTCTTTAAATCGCAGTGCGTGCTTGGCAACAGTTGGTTGGGGATTTCCCTGGACGTTGAGGGTTATTCAGATCGAACGACCCTGAGGTCGAGGTCACGATTCCAGGGAGAGGTCCTCACGTGGCTTAGTTACGCTTAGTTCCGGTACCGTTTTGAGCATCTAAGCCGCAAACTTTCGGCAGTCGGGGTGTCACAGTGACAGGTCATTGAGCCGAAGCAGTGCTGACAGGCCAGAACCAGTGCACAAAGGCCTTCTGCCCACAGAAGTTGCCGAATAATGCCTCAAGATTCTAGATCGAGGTCGACACATTGAAGATCCTGGGTTAACGTTCCAGCCTAGAGCATTGAGCTTTCAAGCCGGGGCGACTCAGAATCGGAGCTCAAAGCAACAGCAGTCTCAGCCAGTCTCAGAGCCAGTTCGTGTATGCGTTTGCACGTTTGCCCAGCTAAGCCAAGCCAAGCACGCACTGTGCAGATACTGAGACTGGAAATACTGGAACAAGTGCACAAGTCCGCATTCTGCCCCGTTGCAGCTGCACAGTTCCTGCAGAGATGGGGGAGCAGCTTTGGGATGAACTGTTCAGATCGGCCATGTCGGTCAATGTAGGCATTAACGTCCTTCCAGTTTGGGTTAGATCAGGACGTGTCTGTAAGACTTGTTTGTGAAGTACGTCGGAGCCCGTTCAGTATCTCGCCAGTTCGCTCATGCACAGGCTTTTGGTTTGCAGTGCTCTCGGCTCGCCTGAGGGAAGTTCCCACGCTCCAGGTTTTGAATCGCGACTGCTGTCTCTGGCGGCGTGGGATCTCGGATCCCAGGAACCAGTTGTCGCGTTCGGCGTGAAGGAACTAGATTAGTGTTTCCAGAATGAGGTGATCCATTGGGTTGGAGAAGCTCAGGTGCTCTGAAGCGCGTCTTTCCAAGCCTCTCTGTCTGTCCTCTCTCTCCCGGCCCGGGCTCATGCAGGCAGGTCTGAGCATTGCATCTCTTCATTCTTTACAGGGCGGTGCAAAGTTCGGGGAAAATTCTCGCAGTTAGGGTGCGGGAAGAATGGGAGTGTGTGGGGGGGGACGGGGGGGAAGGTTTGGCCACCTTCTGCTCAAGCAAATCAAGCATTGCCGTTTCCAGCATGAGGAAGCTCACTTCCCCGGTGCTCTGAAGTGCGCCTGTCCAAGCGCAACTGTGGCAGCCGAAATTCAGTACCTAATGTACCTATGTCCTTCAAGCCATGCTCGGCAGCTGTGTTCCCGGATCGGTTTGGAACCTTCCTGTTTGAGCCACTGGCCAGCAATCATTCGACAGTTTTCTGGTCACCTTGCAATCATGACAGGACTGCATGTCTTTTCGGCCAAGATGCATAGTAGATGCATATTGCACCATACACTGAGAGGATCGCGTTTTCCGCATGAGCAGTCACGAAAGCTAGCTCCAGGCACTTCTGGCAGATGTGCAGCATCTTCTTGGTTGTTGTAGGCGAAGCAGATCGGGTTGCCACCCCGATCCATCATGAACCTTCCCCGGGCGTCCTTCCGCGGGGCTTTGGCCACCGGAGCCGGGGGCGGTGCTTCCGCCTTAAGGGGGTCTTTAATTGGTCGTCTCGTAGACGGCGTGGTGGGGTCCTTGGCGCATTGTCAGTGGTGGACCCGGTGCCTCCAGCCTGGGCCCTGCCCCCGCTCCGCGACGCCATGAAGCGCAGGACGGGATCACGCACATGTTCATCCCAGTAATCGCGGGAGGCCAACACTTCGTTCCACGGAGTTTCGGGATCAAAGCACGGGGCTAAGCCTGCCCCGAGTCTCCACCGCAGCCTCGGAAAGTGCTCGGCAGCGGAACCTGGGTCCAGCATAGCGGTTTCGGGCCAGCGGGTCTGTTAGAGCAAGAGTTGTAGGCTGTGCGGACCCCCCCCTTCCCCCGCCCGAGCCATGTTGGCTGGATGGAGCAAGCTCCTTCCTTCACTTGGTGTCCCAAAGCCATACCTTCCCAGTGCGAGAAAGACAGAGCCACACAGCTTCTGTCTTCCGGCCTCCTGCACGTTGCAACTAGCTTTCGTGGCCTCTTCTCAAGTTGTTTTTGCAAATCAAGCATTAACGTTTCCAGCATGAGGTACTCGTTTGCATTGAAGAAGCTCACTTCCCCGGTGCTCTGAAGTGCGCCTGTCCAAGCGCAACTGTGGCAGCCGAAATTCAGTACCTAATGTACCTATGTCCTTCAAGCCATGCTCGGCAGCTGTGTTCCCGGATCGGTTTGGAACCTTCCTGTTTGAGCCACTGGCCAGCAATCATTCGACAGTTTTCTGGTCACCTTGCAATCATGACAGGACTGGATGTCTTTTCGGCCAAGATGCATAGTAGATGCATATTGCACCATACACTGAGAGGATCGCGTTTTTCCGGATGAGCAGTTGTTTTTTTAAAGTTACTTCCGCGATGCAAGAGGGGTTCCTCCATTAATGTGCCCTCACCCTTTCAGTGGAAGCTTTAGTACTTTTCTTTAAGGTGCCAGGATAAGATCCCAGACAGACCTAATCCTCAACTGCCATTCCTCCTTGATCTAAACCCAAAATCGTGAACGCCTGTACCCAGAACGCTGCAACCCACCCTGCTGTGATTCCTCCACGACATCTGAGTGGACCCCACATCTCCACTTCTACGGCTTGGGGCTTGGGAGCGGACCAAGACCTAACAAGCCTATTCTCGTGCAGTCATAACATTTGTTTATATGGCAGCGGGTTCAGAAACACAGGGTATGTAGCAGGCCCGGGCGGCCATTCTGCGACCAAGGTCTGTAACAAGCGTGCTCCGCTTGCCATAAACCCCTGCGCGACAAACCCTTCCTAACCTGCCTAGCCTGTGCATAGCTAACGTAACACTCCGCGACAAGGGTATGAAACATTAGGCCCGCGACAAAGGCTTGTAACAGGGATGGGGCGGGGGGACCGCGACAACCCCTAGTTTTGACCCACAGCCAATATTTGTCTTGTGATCGCCGGCCGGCCCTGTTTATGTCCGTTTTCTCCCCGAGCGAAGTTGGGGTGAGATTTTGATTTCTCAGAGTGCTTGATGGGTAAGGCAGAACACAAAACCAACCGCGCGGAGGGGGGGGGGCTCTTGTCGTGCGTTCCCGCTGGCGCATCACGGCCAGAACTTTCTGACTGGGGATGCTACGCTGTGAAGGAATTCAGGATTATTGTTTCCAGAATGAGGTACTCGTTTCGGTTGAAGAAGCTCACTCCCTTTTGCCCTGAAGTGCGCCTTTCCAAGCGGGGAGAACTTCAAAAACCCGAACCCATTCAAGACGCTTGAGAAAAAGGCACTCTGCGTTCGAGGTGAAGGAATTCAGGATTACTGCTTCCAGAATGAGGTGCTGCCCCGAAGTGCGCCTCTCCAAGCGAGGAGAACTTTAAAAACCAGAACCCTTTCAAGACGCTTGAGAAAAAGGCACTCGCTTACGAGTCAGCTCCTATCAAAGCCAGTTTGTGTACGCAAGCGTTTGCCCAGATCCGCCAAGCTCATACTGAGCACGTACTGAGCACACATTGAGAACGGAACAACTGCCCAAGTGCGCATTCTGCCCGGCTGCGGCTGCAGAAATCCTGCAGAGGGGATGGGGGAGGAGCCGGCATGAGGCTTGTGAACCTTCAGAAGTCGCAAGCGCTCGTAGAGGGTAGTGGTGACTTCAGTGAGGAGCTTCTGGAATCTTCGCACCGTCCCTGAAGGCAGAGACATCAGGAGACATCTTCCAGCTGCAGAAGCATGTAGCCGCGTAGCCGTGGACGCGGGATTTAGTACCAGAGCTGTTCGCATAGGTCTGGAGCGGGATGTTTGCCCTTCCATGGCTGATCCGAATGTCGCGTGGGACCTTGATTCGATATTTGAGTGAACCGAGGCAGCCGTTAAGTTTCTGACGCATATTGAGCCAAGCTCGCTTCCAAAACGCATTTTTTAAGTGCAAGTCATTATCTTAAACAAGTCGCAGCACGTGCTTGGCGACAGTTGGTTGGGGATGTCATGGGACGTTGAGGGCTATTCAGAAGTTAGATCGAAGCATGCTGAGGTCGAGGGGAACATGGCGAGGTCCTCGCGTGGGTTAGGTACGCTTAGTTCCCGTTCTGATCATTCAAGTCATTCAAACCAGGGATTCATGCCGTTCCCACCACAGAATCTCGGAGCGTGTCGAGGCGTTTGCAGTAATTCACAGAGCCAAAGCCACGATTCGATGGTAGACCAGCCTGACCGTTGTGCCCTTTGGGCAATGCCGTCTCCAAACTTGAGGCGCGTTTGGGGCTATCCATGATGATTGTATCCAGAATGAGGTGCCCCTTTGAAGAGGCTCCCTGGTCCCCGGAAGAGCGCCTTTCCAAGTGCAACTGTGGCGGCCTCAGCACCTGTGTCCTTCAAGCCATGCGCAGCTGTGTGCTTTGACTCAAAGGACAGGGTCCTTAATGGCGCCTTGAATGGGATGCTCCCGAAGCCCTCACGTTCAAGACGCAGTGCGTGCAGCGCTGCTGGGAAGTCCTCTTGATGGTGACTTTCGCATTGCCTTCAAATTGAAACCGCGATTTCAGGTGGAGGATTTGGTCCTCCTGGCCAGTCGGGAGTTTCCCTGCTCTTTGGAGCCTCCAGGGGTCGATTGCAACGTCGTGCGATGTGCGAGACGCAACGTGCTTGGAACGGCTGCCAAGCACTACCTGGCTTGCACTGCAAGAGGCAATAAATGGAAATGTGTATGGGTTGTGGCGACGTTCCGCCCGTCTCAAGCTTTCTGGTTCATGATGGCGGCGCCAACCGGCATCAGCACAAACTTGCTGCAGCTTTGGCAAGTGCTGGGCGCTAGGATGAGATGCAATGCTCTCTGGACGATGCCATGGTTTGCTCACCGAACCCTGCTCCCGTCCGTGGGACGTTTTTGGGGGCAGAGAGTGGAGTAGCACGGCACCCCATGCAGCGCTCCGCGCAGCGCTCCACGCAGCGGCCCTTGCAGCGCCCCATGCAGCACCCCATGCAGCGCCTTGAGCAGTGCCCTCACCCTCTCCATTCTCCGAGGCGGGCGAGAACATTTTCAATGCAGAAGCGTATGGCAAGCCCGGGCGCGAGTGTGCACCATTGCGTCTGCAATCATCTGCAACACACGGACACGGCCTAGTGAGCACCGCAGTGGTGGAGTGCAGTGTCAAGCTTCGCTCGCCCCCTCAAGCTCTGGCTGTCAAAGGCCATGGCCCCGTCGAGATTCCCCTTTTCGCTCTAAACGCCCGAGGATCCGTCAAGTAGGTCCCCCACATTCGCTGCAAAGTCTGCCACCTGCATCGTCGGCCTTCTTCCGAGCTTCCCGACTCTAATGCAAACACCAGAGGACGCTCGCCTGGCCGCATCCTGATAGAACAGGACACCGTATCGGAGTCCTTGGCGCGGCATCTTGACTCCCTGCGCTACCGCTGCCATACTTTTGCTCACATTTCGGTTCCACCAGCTTTTGCTCTCAGGCCGAACAGCCACGACTTCTTGTGCGGCTGTGACCCGCGCGGGGCGTGGGCTCGAGTTGTCGTCCCCTGCGCGTGCGTCTGCGCAACTTCTGCGCGATGTGCTCAAGTGCACTCGCCGAGCGCAGCCCTCAGTCACAGCGACTCTCCCCTGTGGTTACACTTTGCGAGAACGGGAAGCTCTAGGGTCGTACAGGTCGCGGTCGCAAGCACCTCAGTGCTTCCCGCAGAGATCCGTGTGCGCGCGCAAAGCATCGCGCCCGACTTTGCTTCTCAGGGTAGCGACTGAAGCGGCTAAAGAGTAATTAATGTGAAAGCCTTCGGAAGCTGGGAGGCTCATGGCGCACGCTTAGGTGCTGCTATCAACCGAGGATTCTGGATGCGTGAACCCACCCGCTCTGCGAGAAGAAAACATGTTTTGCAATTACAGACCTGTTGAGTTTGCAGTGCAGAGTGCACGAGGTACGTACACAGTACACTTTACATAGTGCTCTGTGCATCGGAGGGAGGGTAAGAACATTTGAAGAAGCTCTTGGAACTTCGAGGTTTCAGAATCTGTAGAATCTAGAAGACCTGAATTTCCATTGTTTTCGGAGATGCACCTTTCAAGAACAGCGCTACTGCAAATGCAAAAGCGATCGAGAGTCTGTCTGTCCAAACAGCACTGGGCAGTGCCGTCTATCCTAGCCCTAGCCGCTTTGACCGTTGGTTGCTCGGATCTGGACAGTGAATGTGGGAGCAAAGCGGCATGCGTTTCCGACTGGAACGTGCAGTGACTCGAACATGCAAAACACGAACCTCACGGTGCCACAGGCGTTTAACCATGTTGAACCTGTCCGTGTTCTGGCAGCAGCAAACAGCAAGCATGGTCAGACAGATCTGTGACCCAAAGAGAGAGGAAGAGCCAGACCGATCAAGCGCAAGAGAGCCAAACAATGTGGAAGAAGACAATGGAGGAACAGGGAGGAAAACATAACAAGGAAGACAAGGAAGAACGGCAAGAAGACGTAAGACCACAGTTTTTGTTTTCTGCCCGTGCCATAGACCGATGCACCGCGCGCGTGACTTCCCTTTCCGCGCCTCTCCACCGAGACAGCTGGGAATAGGAGCCTGGGGTCACAGTAGAGATCTTCGCCATTCCCGGCAACTCCCTCTGCATTTTGCCCGTACCTGCGCTTTTACAAGACCAGTGTCGCAAATGCCAAGTTTATCGTCAATCTTCCTATAGGCTTTTAACATGCCGACCTGGATGGTTCACTTTGTGCATGAGCGAGTGAACATGTGCTTTGCATCTGTACATTTTTGCATGTTATGGTCTTGTTGATTTGTGTTTCTTGCTGCTGTGCTTGGACCACATGCGTCTTGAGTCATAATTTTGAATTTCCAAAAAGAAGCGGCAGGCTAGTGCAATGCTGAACACCTGCAGGAAACGGCTGAAGGGTAGCAGTGACGGGGTCGTGTAGCTTGCAATCCTGCAGTACCCTGTCGCTCCCTCCATGCACCGGCTGGAAGCTGAGATGGATTGAGGATGGGTTGGACAGGGGATGGTTTGGGGCTCGTGTGGGACGATGGGCCGAGTTTGAGAAACTTTATTGGGTTTTGTTTAACGCCTCTTTTGCAGCATCATCCAGACAAGGGTCAGAAAAGACAAAAACACTTATTACTTCGAGCATCCCCGCCCTCTGAAACCCTACAAGTGGGTTTGCCAAAACCCAGGGACCTTAGTTGGCAGGCGTGGCAAACCCAGTTCACCCCTGCATTGAAGCCACGCAAAACCCTCGCAAAACCCTCGCAAAACCCACAAAAACCCACCCACACCCACCCACCCAAACAAAAACCATCCCAAACCCACTCGAAACCTTGGCAGGCGTGGCAAACCCACTTCACCCCCGCATTGGGAGTTATAAGAATAGACCCGGAGGTGGGTGGTGGGATCCCGTCCGTGTCTGACAATATTATATGACTGGATTTCTGCAAAGCGTGTTATTTGGGTCTGAACATCTCAATTTACTTAAACGGCCCTCTTTTGGGGAATAGAGGTTATGGGCCCCAAAGCACGGTAAGCCCCAAGAAGGGATAAACATCTCAATGTACATAAACCACCCTTTTTTTGCGCCGCTAGAACATCTCAATTTACTTAAACCATCCTTTTTTGGGGAATAGAGGGTATGGGCCCCAAAGCACGTTAAGTCCCAAGAAGGGATAAACATTTCAATTTACTTAAACCACCCTTGTTTTTGCGCCACTACCCCAGACGTTGAACCCACGCAAAACCCACGCAACACTCACCAAAACCCACCCAAAACCCATCCCAAACCCACTCGAAACCTTGGCAGGCGTGGCAAACGCACTTCACCCCCGCATTGGGATTTATAAGAATAGACCCGGAGGTGGGTGGTGGGATCCCGTCCGTGTCTGACAATATTTTATGACTGGATTTCTGCAAAGCGTGTTATTTGGGTCTGAACATCTCAATTTACTTAAACCACCCTCTTTTGGGGAATAGAGGTTATGGGCCCCAAAGCACGGTAAGCCCCAAGAAGGGATAAACATCTCAATGTACTTAAACCACCCTTTTTTTGCGCCGCTAGAACATCTCAATTTACTTAAACCATCCTTTTTTGGGGAATAGAGGGTATGGGCCCCAAAGCACGTTAAGTCCCAAGAAGGGATAAACATTTCAATTTACTTAAACCACCCTTGTTTTTGCGCCACTACCCCAGACGTTGAACCCACGCAAAACCCACGCAACACTCACCAAAACCCACCCAAAACCCATCCCAAACCCACTCGAAACCTTGGCAGGCGTGGCAAACGCACTTCACCCCCGCATTGGGATTTATAAGAATAGACCCGGAGGTGGGTGGTGGGATCCCGTCCGTGTCTGACAATATTTTATGACTGGATTTCTGCAAAGCGTGTTATTTGGGTCTGAACATCTCAATTTACTTAAACCACCCTCTTTTGGGGAATAGAGGTTATGGGCCCCAAAGCACGGTAAGCCCCAAGAAGGGATAAACATCTCAATGTACTTAAACCACCCTTTTTTTGCGCCGCTAGAACATCTCAATTTACTTAAACCATCCTTTTTTGGGGAATAGAGGGTATGGGCCCCAAAGCACGTTAAGTCCCAAGAAGGGATAAACATTTCAATTTGCTTAAACCACCCTTTTTTTTGCGCCACTACCCCAGAAGGGGCACCCCCGCATTGAACCCACGCAAAACCCACGCAACACTCACCAAAACCCACCCAAAACCCATCCCAAACCCACTCGAAACCTTGGCAGGCGTGGCAAACGCACTTCACCCCCGCATTGGGATTTATAAGAATAGACCCGGAGGTGGGTGGTGGGATCCCGTCCGTGTCTGACAATATTATATGACTCGTGTGTACTCATTAAGACTGGTAGAGCGAGGGAGTGGCACATGGCGACAACTCGCGAGCGCATGGGGACGCTCCCGGTGGTTTCAGCAGTCTTCCGGCCTGCAAAAGTTTGATTATGACCTTTTGATACCTTTTGTGGGATAGGTTGAAATGTGCACCTCACCAGTTCTCATCGTCAGAAGCCCAGAGAATCAGAGTTTTGTACATCACGTCGATGACCCTATGTGACTATGTGCAATGTGCATGTATGTGCAAATTCGATCCGCTTCATGCCGAGGCGGGTCAGACATGTCTTGTTGAGACTACTTGAGGTGAGCCACATCACAGTTCTCCAGTTGTTGTTGGCGTACTTCAAAGGGCACCTTGCCGGCAAATGTGATGATGAGAGCGCTGCAGCCAGCTCGTGAGTGGCTCTCGCAGTCAGGATTGCAGGATGTTGCAGCAGGGTTCCGCAGCGCGGGTTTAGGGGTTAGGGTTTAGGGTTTAGGGTTGAAGCAAGAAATCCAGTTGTTTGTTGAACTGAGGGTGCCAGTCGAAGAGGCACGGCCTGTGCCATGAATCCGGCTTATAGCATGAGCAACAAACTGAACGTTGGCAATTCTGAATGCGCTCCTCTTCTCTGGCTTGCCTGGTGCACGTGTAGGACGAGTTTAATTGCAGTGTCACCACATTTTGACCCTCCAACAGTGGGCCCACTTGTAGCCAGAAATCTTCCATGTGCAGCTCGTTGTGGCTGAGATTTGTTGGATTCACCTGGCGCGCACGGTTTCGTTCCTTGCATGGCGACAGCCCGGTCCGCTGCTACAATGAGCAGTCATGGCTTCAGCACGATGACATTTAGGGAACACCGGCCGATCGCGTTAACAGGGCTTCAGCACGGCGACACCCCTGTCCAAAAGGGTGGTCGAGTTCAGAAGAACGGGTGTTACGCGCATGCTGCTGCTGCGGCAACCAACACCCCAATCTTCGAAGGTGGTTGATCAGTGCCGTGCACAGGGTTGGACCAGCAACACTGTTCCGCAGATCTCTCGTTGGATAGAAAGTTGCAATTTCCCAAAAACATGGA